ATCACAAACGTGTTATTGGGACGTGAAAAGTGTAAACTTTTCAAACAAATACATGAGAAAAGAAATTAAGGAGTTATTAATAACAAAATGCAAGGGGGTGTTTCCTGACAGTGGCGATACGTTTGTGGAGACTGAAATCAACTCTTTGAGAGCTTCATATCGATGTGAACCAATTAATTAGAACTAATTAAACTAATTAAATCTAAGTCTATAACCCTAATAGGCTACTCTAAATACGACCCTTATACCCTTATATTAAATAATACAACCCTCATATTCTTTAATACCTTATTTCTCACTTTTTTAGGCCCATAAGCTTATTGTAAACACAAAAACCATAATACAGTACATACAACTAATAACTCACCCTATCAATTGAAGTATAATCACGTCTAATGTATTTTTTGAAGGCAAATTTGATTCTTTAGTGACTTTGCTTGCAACTTAAAAAAAATTTCCTTGTTAAGAAAAATCCAAAATGAAAAACAAATAGTAGGTAAAAATTACATGGGGGCGATACAAAGGGGTTTATTAGAATGATTTCAATAAAACATATAATATATGTTGAATTTGCTGTTATAGCCCACTATTTGAATCGCCAAAGACGGTGGTGCGCGCGCATGTGTCTTTAGTGTGTGGTTACCAATTGCGATAACTACAAACTGAACCTCACATGTGCTGTGTTTTTTGTAGGCACATGTGCCTAGAGCCGCTCGCAGTCACCTCACCACGAGCCACGCAAGGCACATGCGCGCTAGTGTGTGGGCCGCTTTAGAGTATTCAGTTATCTTATTAGATGATTTTCAAATGACCTTTGGATCCTGGTTGTAGTTTGATCCAACGGGTTCTATTTTGAACTCAGGTATCATCTGTCGTTGGAATATTTATGATGCTTACAAAAGGTCAATATTGGGTAGTAACTAGACCCCTACTAAAGAAAGCCGAAAAATCCAACACCGTAAAACATTTTAAATCAAACTAAAGACTGACAGAAGTTTCAATTCTCTAAAGGGAATTTTACAAACCTATGTCTTTTGATTTAAGTAGTATTTCCAAAAACTCAATATAGTCACGCCGAAATCACGGTTACTAGACACATTATGATAACGATATTCGTTAAGGTTCGACATTTACTGTAAGCTTTGAACTCTACTATTAAATTTGAATATACTATTATTTTACTATCCAAATTACACATACATTTTATAATATGAATTGTTTTTATATAAAAAACTATATCACTATAAATAGTGTACGGGGATTGATTTAATTTTGATAAAAATATCATGAATAAAATTTTGTCATTAGGCATAAAATATTGTTTAAGAATGGTAATGTTGATCTGTTTCCAAGGCTAGATATATATATTTTGTTATCATTAATTCTTTGAAATACTTTGAAATTAAAAATAAAATACATACAATACTTAACAATTATTTTATATAAATAATGTATTCCGCGTTTTACTAGGGTCAAATCAAAATTGATAAGACTCAAACAAATGTTTAAATGTATAACCTTTCGAGAACTTTGAACTTTAAATGATTTATGAAGTATAGCAACTTTTTAGATGCCCTCCATAAGAATAACACGGGAATTTTAAATTTGTTTTTTTTTTATCCTCTCCGTTACTAATAACCGAACAGAAATCCTTTGATATACTAAATTATTTGTTTTTTAAATCTCTTTAAAAAGGTCTAGAGATGATTGGGAATTTTTTTATTTTGAGTGTCAAAAATGAGAAATACCAATTTTGACCCCATAAAACCACCCGTTAAACCCCGTTCTCATGGTCCGATCATGCTGGTTCGCGGTCTCAGTCATGTTTATCCTGCCTTACACCGTTACACCAAATTTCATAAAAATCGGACAAAAATTACTCAAGTTATCGTGTTCACGGAGTATTAAATCAGTATTAAATGAGTTCCCCCCTATGTTTTTCTACATTTCAGATATCATCTCCGGACCATGTTAGATCATTGTAGTGTAGTCAGTACTTCATATTGACTGGGTATAAATTTTTTGCTGCCATCTTGGATCTGCCATATTGGATACAAAGTTCTTTTTTTTTCAAATTTAAACGTAGGGTTGTGACCCATAATTTCAAACTGAACATAAATAAATACTGATAAATAAAGATTTGATCGAATGATGTTTTTGGCCTCTGAGGACATCAAAATAATAAAAGTAAATCGGTCCCGTGTAAAAGTCTTACCGTGTCATCTACGGTAATAATTACTTCCCTATAGGGAAGTTGGATAAACGTTATGAAACATGTATGATGGTGTGAACTATAGCGGATACAAGTTTTCATCGCACTGATGTTATTCATTGTTGTTTGCAGGCGCAGTTCATATTCATCGTCACCTTCCTACTGAGTCTGCTGGTCCGAGACTGTGAGGTGCCAAAGTTCTTCACCACCTACACGATGCTCAACGGCTTCGTCTTCTTGTACCTCTTCTCCAAGTTTTACATCAACGCGTACATAAGGAAAAAACAAGATTGAATATTTAAACCACCATGTATTATTAAAAAAAAATCTTTTTAGTGTTCTAACAAGTCATAATTTGATTTATGTACATACGTGTCAAGAATTAGAAAATCTTTTCTAAACGGATTCCTTAAATTTTTGGTGCACTAATGGCCTTAGCCAAAAGTCTATGTTTTAGATAAATAATTTAAACGGTTCCATAATCAAAGAAAATACGCGTTCGTTATCAAAGTTGTTTCTTTGTAACTTTGATATTTAAAGTCAAATCACGATTTTTATTATTGAACTGTATTAGTATAGTACGTCTTTTAAATTTTGTATTTATAAGTTTTAATTTATACTCGTATTTATTGTTTGAAATTGCATGGCAGTCACATATTCTTATTAGACTAGAAGATAATCTTCTTTGTTTAGTTGAAACACCCTGCTTTTACGAGTCAAGTTGTACATAAACCAGAAAATGTAATATTATATTACCAATTTAGTTTTGAAAAGTGTTCATGAAAATCCTACTTCTAAAGTTAACGCATAATAGAAATACTCTTAAAACACCTAAGTATGGGTACTACCTACATAAAAATACAGTTTTGTTAGTTGTAATATTTATCAAGTATGTTTCCCTAGATATAATTAGTAAAATAAAAAATGTTGTATAATATAAATAAAATAAATATGATCATCTAGAACCTTTTAATTGGTTTCTGTTTTACACAGCACCTTTAAACTGTAGAGCTAAAAAAAATAAAACTATTAAAATTATAACGCTTAGAAAATGCCGTGATACGTAGCTATCACTAATTAATTCATTGGGATGGTTGAAAACTTTGAAAAGTAACCATTAAAAAATACATTTGGAATGAGAAATGTGTAATTCAAGAGGCTCTAAAGTGAAACCAGGATTCACGCTTTGGACTGAATCATAACTCGCCTCAGTCAATGAATGAATATCTGAGGCGTTAGGCGGCATGAATAATGCAGTTGTGGTTATGTTCTGAATACAGAGAGCGGCGGCGGCGGCGGCGGCGGGGCAGGACAGACGACCAAACTGCTCTAGTTGTGAATACACACTGCACTTGATGGCAATTACTTCTGGGGCTAAAAAGTAGATGGTGACATCAGTTTACTCCGTTTATCTCCTTATGTTAAATATCTTCTAATATTATGACACAAAGCATATATTTTAAGTTTGTTATGACACATAATTGAAGGATTAAAATAATATATTTCCCCTTTACCAGCATGGTGCTAATTTGGTAATTGAATTAATAAACTACCTATGATTACGTTATGACACTTTTAATTACGTTATTATTTTACTTTTTTTAACCAGCCTTTTTAATGTAGTTCTTGGAATTGAAAGGATTCACTTAACAGTATTGTTTACTTACTTAACAGCATTGTTTTTGTTACTTTGCAGTACAAGATGGACCAATAAGGTTCAAGGATTGAGAGAAAAGAAGTGAAATTGCAATGCTGTCAAGTACAATCAATTGTTTATACAATGAGTGAGTGGTTCGAACAATGAGTCGTTGCATCACAATCAGTGGCAATGTGAGGTTATAAACGAAAATGTAACCTCTCTTAGACCTTATGAGTAGTGATTGTTAGTAATTAAACAAAAACGTGTATTAGCCTTTACGACACTCGTAGAAGTCACTCGCAAACGTTCGTACCTAATTTTTTTTACTCGTGTCTTAAAGACTATCTTATCTTGTATAAAGTTGAACTATAAACTATAAACCATATAATGCTATTGCATTCAGAGTAACATCAATTATCGCCTAAAATGTTTTAAAAGGCAGTACTTTAACTTTTGTAACTACACATTTTTTTAAACATTATAATCAAGATTGATATTGGGATTTAGCGTGCCCATTGCCCAATTATGTTTCGTGGTGTTACCAGTTTCTCGTGTTTTACTCTTAAGTTAAAGTTATAAACATATCTCATTCACGTCAGTCGTACTCAAATTACAAATAAAATCACAATGCAGTTAAGTGATCTTCTAAAACCCATTAAAGTAAGAGTTTTGTCTTTCGATTGTTTGGGATTAATTAGTAGCCTAACTACGTTAACCAGCACAAAGCAATCTAAAATGTTAAGTACATACAGCACCATCAGTCATAATATTCTGCAGTATGCAGTACTGTATAATCTAGTTGCCATTTTAGTCACGTAGTTAGTGCACACTCATTCATTTTAATGTAAGTAATTATTTTTTTGCCATAATAATAAATTTTAAATGATAGGTATATCGGTAGATATGATATATGACGATGTTTTCATGCTGAAGACAACGGTGTTACGGTTTGTTTTAGTTAACAGTATAATATGAGCCTATTCTTTCCACATTAGTACGGTTGGAAACAACTATTCTGGAGGGTCTCGAATCTTGAAACTTGCATAACGGGTATGTATGAGTTTGTATCCCCCAGTACAAAGACTTTTAAGTATACAAAAACCGAAGAATCCAGTACTGTCAGTTTCCTCGTGTCTCGAGGCCGTCTGCCCAAGCCCAGGTCTGGTGTAGCAGGTCCCCGGCCTTGGCTACCTGCCTCACGGATTTGCTCACACTGATTTTTTCCCAAACGCTTAGTGGTGTGCTCGGCTTACGGTAAGTACCGTTTTTAAGTTAGTTTTTTTGAGCAACAGAGTTAAAGCTTTATGTTATTTGAATGGTATCTTTACTTCAAATCTGTTGATTACTAGCAACATGTATTTTTTCGCGAAATTCTTTTATTTCATATAGTACCCCAAGTAATTTGTGCCCAAGCTACTATTGTTTTATATTATAATTTATAACTTGCATCGTTTTATTCCTTATGATTCCGTGCAAATCCTACAAAAAATGTAGTTTTGATTTTGATCAGCTACGTTTGTAACTATAGCTGTAATATTTTGGTGTCTATATAGGAAAAAATGGGATTAAATCCGGTTTTTTAAATAAAGTACAGCTGTTTTGTTTTAAAATACGTGTATGTTCAACCACAAGTCTCAACAGCATTGAAATGAAATAGTAGAAATCATCAACATATATTATGCTTATAAAAATATCGTCTTAACTGACACTAACTTCAAATAAGCGACAGTCCCAAACTTAGCTAGACTGGTAACACTTAATTAGGTAACACTTAATTGCGTTTAAGTTAGCTAAAGTATATTTTACACGGTATAAGTCTAGGAAAACACTACCTGTAACGGATTGGGACATTTCATAATAACAGGTTAGAGTAATATTTAATTTACCTCAGCAATACATTAGAATCCTCTTCCACATGTCTACAGCTATTAAGGTAAAGCCAAGGTTCCAGCACAACTCGATCAAACACTAGATAACCGTTGTTTGGTTGGGAAATCGTTTTTCCATTAATCTATATATTAATTTGAAACTGTTTTTCTTTGTCACAGCTATTTTGAGAGAATGGCTGGGCGTAGAAACTCGGTAGAGGTGTCTAAAGAAAGGTCTTGGTCTGTAGATGAGCCATCAAAAGAGAAACATGGTGAATTCCCTTGGGGCTCTGCCCCCGTGTTCTTTAAATTCCCATCCCATGTTATTCTTATGGAGGAAAACGGGGTTTTTGTCACAGCTAATTTGAGAGAACGGCTGGACGTAGAAACTTGGTAGGGGTCTCTAAAGAAAGGTCTTGGTCTGTAGATGAGCCATCAAAAGAGGAAAGAGGTAAATTCCCTTGGGGCTCTGCCCCAGAAGCCTTTAAAGTTGCCTATTCAGATTTGCTTACATTACGACCATATGCATAATTCTACACTACTTTTTAATGCAACAGCTGTTAATATTTAAATTGTGATTTATTGAATTTGTCAAAATGAAGTACAGTATTTGAAATGGATTTTTCTGATTTTAAAATTGATTTTCTTCTGCATCGTGTCATGTTTTGCAATATAATGTTCTATTACCAAATCAGTGGAAAATCCTAATATCACAGTAACTTTTAAAGTTATATCTTATGGAGTTAACTTATATCTATTGTATGGGTTGGTTTCTGCCTTTTTTACCACTTCTTGGAGATTAATGTCTGTATCCAATAGGTGATATTCTCTGGCATATTGCATCTGTAGACGAAACTTGGGTTGGTGTAATTATTAGAATGGAAAAGAATGAGAAATCCTGGACAATTTGATATAGGCTAAAAATAAAACTGAATGAACACTGTTCTACATTTCTTGAGCAATCATTGAAATAACCAATTTGCAAACAATGAAAACATAGAAAAAGTCATAGAACACAACCAAGTAGAAGAAATAGAAATAATGTTTTTTTCTTTTATAATCGTTATCATAGACAACCTAATGCGGCTATGAGAGGGAAAAATTTGTAGAAAACACTAAAAAAAAACAAGATCAGCTTTTTGAAAAAAGATAAGATATTTACAAAAGATTTTGATTATATCTAACTGTTGTGTAGATTGTGAGTATTTCCATAATCTTTGAGTTGCCTGTAATGCAATTGCTCGAATTCGAGCAACAGGTACACTAGTATAACTTAACTTGAATAGTATTGTTTAAATCAAAACAAGCCCATGTAAATGCAAAGATTTAGCTACTGAAATATAAGATTGATTATAATAATAAGACTGCTACAGCTGCATGCTAGAAAGATACTGGGGCCTAGATACCCAAACACGTATATTATTTCGTCCTTTGAAGGCAATACACAAATCGTTATTTTGCTATGTATTACTATTTCAATGTTAATTATGACTACATTAATGCCTAGTAAACGCTTCCTAATAGTGCTCAGGATGGATTAGTAAACACGGCGAGCTATTCCTATAAGGTTTAGTCCATAGTGTATACAAGTTAGCTATGATTTTAGATGGGGACGATGACCGCAACATCAGCGACCCTCAACGCAACCCAGGACATTCCGTTGGATGAGGGTAAGTACCCCACAGTCGTTACAAAATCGGAATTCCATCCTTCGAAGTTTTTCATATGGAGTATAAGGGAAATTCATATTATTGGGGGTCTTAACAGAACCATTTTCTAGAAAAACAAGAGTACATAAATACATTTTGCATTGTTTTCCTTACTTATATAAGTCGTTTAAATTAATTAATATTATTTTTCGTCATACTGCAGCAACAACAGCCGTTTATAATCTAAAGAAGTTCTTTTACCAACTAGGCTAAGGAGTAAAAATGCTTTTTAGGCCCTAGTCAGCAGTTGTAATCACAGGTTATCGTATTAGATCGCATGATTCGATATTAGGAATCGATCGGTTTCATCAGTTATCGCTATTGTTGCATTCTTGCAGACTCGTCACGCTTGAGCTCGGGTCGAAAAGAGTCACTTTACGCCCAAGTGATAAAATAGTCAATTTACAAAGGAGCAGAAACATGATTTTAACATGATTACCCCTTAAGTTTAAATACGGACCTGCCCCAAATCCGTTGACTGAAATGGCTTACACGTACATGCTTATGTAATGTATTTTGCCCTATGCAATTTATCTTCACAATAAGCGTGTAATTAAGGTCGCTATGCAAGCAATCAAAACAGTCGTTTTTGGAGCCCACAATATGTACAGTATAGTAGTTATCTGAGTCTAATAAACCTACAGGCTACATTATTCGACACATTTAATCTTACTATATACAATGTGTCTCTCGATTTATCTGGAGAGTGATCAACAAAGTGACGATCTATGTCAGCTGTCGAGAAAAGATAAAAATATTCGTAGTTTTCATGGATTACTTAGACAATTACCTGTTTAACCTTGAAAACAACCCAAATCACAGTCAAAATAGTCTATATTCACATGCGTTAAAACCATACTCCAACTTCAAACTAACATTTTTATATTTGCAAGGTAAAATTTAACTTATTTATTCTGTAATTAGATTGTAAATCTATAGACTTAACTACATAAATATTATACGTTTGATGCTTCGAATACATTATACTTTCATGTAACGCCTTCAAAGACTCAATAACTATTTTGGTATCACAATGTCGCACAACAAACAGATACACGTTATTAAGGCTGAACTTTAGTTTTACCTGGTTTTTTTTCAAGCAATTCAAACTAATGTTTTTTTAGCGCTATCAACTTAATAAAAAAAATTTAAGTGTTTATTCTACTTATGCTGAAAAATATTTCAGACCTAGGACTAGGATCTCACAAAAATACTGGATAAAATTATTCATGTTTAAAAGAATCTTTTAACACTAATTTCTCTGTCACAGTATTCTAACAGTAGGATCAATGTCTAATCAAAGTTGGATACATGGGATGAGTATAAAAACAATTCTAATCCTATGCAGGAGTTTATTTAATCTGTAGGAAATAAAAAAACTGGATTTTAAATATATTATGTGGTTATTGACACCGAATAGCTATTGTGTCTTCGAAACAATCTCAAACCAAAAGAAATACATTTAATTTACCTGACCTCAACATTAGTATACTAATAACTTTTATAATTTATGGGAAATATGTTAATGCTCGTTTGGATCGTTTTTGTTGCTTTTAGAAAATATTAGTACTTACTGAGAACATTTACTATCCTAATGACTATGCAATTGTAGGTATAACGAGGTGACCGATTTTTATTCTTCTAAACGCAAATAATTGAAATAAAAAGACACCATATCTTATTTAATTGCTGTAAAGAATTAAGTACCAACTTAACGTCAAAAACTTTCTTTACTGAAGAGACTTTACTATGACCTAATTAACAGCTAGTTGATGCCCAGGCATAAGTAAATCTTTAGTAGAAAATGCCGTTAAAATGTGTATCGTGTCTACGAAACTGTTGTATCGGCCAAAGAAAGGCGAAAATTCTGATCAATAATATCAAACAAATTTTAATAAGTGCATAGTGGGAACACTGTTTGTAAATATGATTGATTATTCTGTGTGTCTGGTCAGAGTCCATGCTCAACTCGTGGGCGCTGCTGGCCACACCATGGCCTGTTCTGGTAATTCTCAGTTCCTACCTGGGGTTTGTGCTGTGGCTTGGCCCCAGTATCATGAGACAACGTAAGGCTATGGACCTTCGTCACCCGATGATGGTCTATAACCTCTACCAGGTCATCTACAACGGAGCTCTCGTTGGATGGGTGAGACTCATGTAACTTTTTCCAACCATATAAAAACTATCTGATAGCGATAACACCATTTCAATTTTAGTATCGTTGTATGGATGTTGTTTTAGAGTTAAATTAACAAAATTACTACCTTTTATTGATCACGTTACATACATTTCAACACAAAATACACTTCAATCAAGTTTTGCATTTTTTTATATATTATTATTATTAGTTTGCACGATGGCTCGATAAAGATTATTAGATTTAAAAAAATATTTAATTCAAACGTTCAAACCTATGTTTATTTGAGGACTTCGTGAACCATGGTCGGAATATTCGAACGGGGATTTTTTATATGGTAAAAGTTGGAATTTCCATTTTGACCCTAAAAACACAAAGTTTGGCAATTTTGTTAATATCAATTTTGTAGAGATTAGACAAAAATATATTAAAGCGGTGTTAACAGTTATTGAGAAAATTAAACAACCTGTCCAAACAAAAACAAATTAAAAAATTTGAAATCCCCATGCAAGCTGTTATAGAGAATAAGTAAAGAGTTGTAGTTTACTTGTTTATGCAAATATTTTGATACAATATGGAAAAATCTAATTTTATAGTAGGCTTTTAATATTGTATAAAAAACACACTATTAATTTCCCTGCAGCAGCAACCCTAAGTACTCATTAAACCTATTGCTTTTTTACCTAATGCTTAATATGACATTTTAAAGAATATATTTAAGTGACAATCCCATATAAGCTAAATGGAAATCCTCCTAGTCTAGGTTTGATTGGCTGGCTATTGTGGTTATTTCTTCCCGAACACTCTATTTAAAAAATACACAGTGAAGGAACCTCAAGAATTTTCCCCAAACAGATACTAATTACCATCTACCTAAGTAAAAAATGTGCATATCACCTTCATTGAACAAACATGCTTATTTCCCTCCTGTTTTAGTCAATACTTGGCAATTTGCAAACCGGGTAGAACAACGGTTTCCATATATTTAGTTTTATTACTTATAACTTATACCTTATACTTATAGCTTTATATTCATTGAAATCAAGTATATTTGTTTTTCTTCATTACTGTGGATTTCAGTGCACAACAACTCGTAAACAAACGACTAATGTTGTAAATAATTTTCAATGTATCATTTCTTCAAAAATACTATACATAAATATCCTGTTCTCTTGGCAAGTGAGGGCCAAAGTGCTACATTATATTTATGTCTCAAATAAGTTAGTTAAAACTTCACTATGAGTAATTGCTTGGTGGGATATAATCAAAACTTCAACTCATCTATTAAGCTGTTTCACTACACAGGAGAGAAGCTCTAGGAGTGTTATAGCTATTTACATTACAAGTGTAGTAAGAGCGTTTTTACATCACGCAGGTGAATGTTGTGCAACGAGCGGAAGCGAGTTGCATAATTCACCTAAGAGATGTAAACACGCTCTTGCGCAACGTGTAACGTACACGATTTTACCTGACCCGACAATATACATGGGTTTACGTACAATATTTTTCATTATCCATTTCACTCATCGTCTAACAGTAACGTTCTTTTACAAACAAAAGCTAGGTTAGGAAAATACTTTAAAGCATAACAATAATATTCAAGCGCACAGCTGATTTCTAGCTTTGAACGTCGTTGGCTCCATAGAGGTATATTTTTTTAAGTTAAGCACTCAATGTTATTTAAATGGGTTTCATTACATCACCGAGTGAGTTTTTTTCAACTTTACATCACTCGAGAAGTAAGGAAGTTGTATACATCACGCTTGGGATAGGGAAGTTTAACATGGCGGGTTAGGTAAAAGGATATTACACTATTCAAAGCTAGATGATTTTGTATCGGGTTCCGATAAATACAATATACCTAAAAAGTTATGAGCTCTGAGTTCCCTGTGTATCCAAGTGGTTATAATCTAGCCTTCAAATCTGAAATTTGCTATTTTGATTCTGGACTCAGATGTAATTTGGGCTATCAATTATTAGTACAAAATGAAACAAAATTATATTCTCTACCAGAAATTGCCATTGTTTATAGCTGTTATTATAAAGTAGCTGACGTTTACAATGGATGGATCGGGTTAGTCAATTGGCTGTGAGTCAAACAATGGAACCTGTCGGGTTGGTCGAAAAACGGGACCGGTCGAGTGGAAGGTTGTCCCAAGGTGACTTGGTCGTTTTCCGGGTCTGCAGAGTGCAGAGTCTGACAGCCCGCGCCACAACCTGTCTCCGTCCACACTTTCACTCTCAATTACAAGATGTCGACGTTCAGCACTGTGTAGACACTCTCACCTGCTATGTTTGATTTACACAACACTGCCCAAGGCTGACAAATAGTTTGATGCAACGCATTGTAATTAGGACGGATTCTGATTGTTAACTAGACGCTATCGCTGTAGCCTCAATAACAGTTCCTAGGTTTGTGGAAATAACTCTAAATAGTCTTTATTTACGAAGGGGTATTAAGTTAAACAATACGTTTGGATTTTTTAACCTACATAGTTTATTCAGCACATAATATTTAAAGTTGACTGGTCTCATGTTTAAAATGTATAACCCAATATAAATCATTTGTAGATACTGTATTGCAAAGTCTTTTTTGCAAAACTCAAAGAACATTATTGCAGTTACAGGCTATGCACTTTTTTATAGAGCTACGATTTGTTTCTATAAATTTAATATTGTAACAATGAATAATACGTGGAAACAATGTTTGGTTTTCTTTGCAAAACATTTCTTAAAGCTTAATGACCAATATAAATTACAGTATATTGGAAGCTATTTTTAGCAAAGAGAGACAGTAACGATTTCCAAAAATGGTATTATATTTATCTCATGTGTGGGTTACGGTGTTAGCGACTTTTAAAACTCAATTTTACAATGTTTTACAGTTCTTTACGCACAGTACTGCCATTTCGTATGTAATCGAACATGGATGTCATCCGCTGGACCCAAAGTTGAATCCTTTAAGGACCGAGGTAAGCAGTCATCAATGGATAATATTCAATCCTTTTTTTTAAATTGGACTAAACATATATAAAGCATATCCCAAATATTAAATAAGGAGACTTTAAATAGAGTTGGATCTGTTTTGATCATTTATACATTTCGTATATTCAACTAAGTTTTACCTTATGTAATCTAACACATGATTTTATGCTTAAAATTCAAGCTTTATATCTAATTTTATGCATTGAAAGATTAATCTAAACGTTTGTTAATAAAACAGTCAAATAGTTGTATCAAAGGCATTTCTTTATTAAAACGTTGTAAAAAACAGGACTTCAGGCTTAGTTTCCTTTTCAAGACATTTATAAAGGTAAACGAGATTCCACAGCTGACTATCGGCCTACTGAATATGTATCGTAATGGATATATTCTTTGTTTCCAGCTTCATCTCGCATCTTGGTGCTACTTGTTCGCTAAGATCGTTGATATGATTGATACTGTAAGTAAAAAATGTTATATATTAAAGATTATTTTTTTTACCGCCATCGAGGAGTAAGAACTGCTAGGAATGTACCAGCCCTACTTAACGCGTTAAAAGTTGATGTTAATAATCTTTTAAAACCCTTCGGGGAAAGCGGGCTTTCCTGATTAAGTTAAGAAAATAATAAAAAATTACAGTTTATCATAATTAAATTGTACGCGTACCTGTTTTACAGTAACATCAGCAAAATATATTATTCAATGAAATAGGAATATATAGTTTTGTGGAGGTAATTTGTATATGTTACATTTTGAATATACTATAAAGTTCAGTATAGTATTTTTTTAGTCATTAAAATTGGTCACTTCATAAATGAGTACCTAATTAGTTTCCTAAGTTGAATGTTTACAGTGAAGCTCCGTTTAAAAATACGATTTACGTTTTCGCATAAATATTCTGTAAACACATTTTCACTCGCATTGTGTATATTGAATAACACTTATGAAATTGAGTGACTTAACTGACTGAGTGACTTAAAATCAATGCGTTGACGATTGTTACCCAAAGTAGTTGTGTTAACAAATAAGCAAAAAAACCAAACACTTTGTAGGTAATTAGCTCAACTTACTCGATCAAGGTTAACCATTTCCAGAATAAACCTTGGACTTCCATTGTATTCATCAGTGGCACATTTACAACTCATTTCAAGAACATTGTTACTCGTGCTTGCCGGTCGTGTACATTGGGACACCATTGAAGTAACATTCCAACCTACAGCTCTGTTGCTCTTGACTCACATTGTTGTAATGCCATTCAAGGTGAACTTTCCCAAACCGCCCAAACAAGGGAAGAATACTGGCTTGGGTTACTACTCTTGGCTACTGCGTGTTATTGTTTACTCTGAATATATACATAGACGAATCTGTTGGAGCCAACCAAGCCATGGGGCTAGTCAGTGGATAGTGGTCAATGTCAGTGTGTCAGTAGAGTTTTGTATTTACCAGATAGTTTTAGTCATTAAAAGAATAAGAAACACATTTGTGACAATTAGCCCCTCTATTGTAATCAACAGGGTACCCGTAAGAATCATAACTTATGATTAGTACAACTTCAAAGAACATCTTTGGGTCAGTATAAAGTTGAAAGCCGCGTAACGTTTTGGAACTCCTTCGTTGTTTAAAGAAACAGTGTACCCTATACAGTCTTTATTCTTGATTAGCACAGCTTCAAGTAACATCTTTGGGTCAATATAAAGTTGCAAGGCCCGTAACGTTTAGAAACCCCTCCGATTTTTAAGAAACAGTGTACCCTATACAGTCTTTATTCTTGATTAGCACAGCTTCAAGTAACATCTTTGGGTCAATATAAAGCTCTAAGGCACGTACGGTTTTGGAACTTCTCCAATGTTAAAGAAACAGTGTGCCCAATAAAGTATTTATTCTTGATTGGCACAACTTCAAGTAACATCTTTGGATTGATAGTGATTTCTATGGCACGTGACGTCATATACGATTCCGTTGTTATCGCACATTATACTAAATAACACTCTCATTTTTAATTAACAAAACTAAGGCAAACAGTTTAAGCAATTTCTATATTATCTAGTAAAACTACCAGAATGTCACAAATTCCTAAATCACAACACTGACTGGTTTTATGATTTCATTATACTGCTTTAAACACCATAGGTTATCTTACACACTAACAAATATTACATTTAAACTATTTCTATAACGTATTTGCCATGACACTGGGTATTTAACACAATGTAAGAGAACATATTAGTTTTATGTTTTAAATATGTTTTTACAATATGCTATGCATTAGGCATCATTTTTAACCAACAGAAAAGATCCTCTAAGACAGTCCTTAGTATTCATGACCCAACTACGTGGTTGGCATAGCCTCTGAGATATTATAATTTGTATTCATCATAGCTTACTTTTACTAAACGTTATCATCAAAGTTTCATTGCCTCAAAAAATTACACTAAATTAACACCTAAAACACTTAATAGCCCGACATACCTGTACGGCAACTGGTTTTTATTGTTGTCCAATAATAAGGTTTGCGCAGGTGTTTATGATTCTACGAAAGAAAGACTCGCACGTGACTTTCCTCCATCTCTATCATCACACCAGCATGGTGGCGTTCTCTTGGCTCAGTGTCAAGTATATACAAGGTATGACATCCTACAAGATTAACTTTGCTTCTACAAAGATGATAAGTAATTTACGCTTATTTCGTGATACGTTTGTTGATAAAATAAATTGGGTTTGTGCTTAAATGGAAATTTCAAATCTCTTAACACAAGTGAGTTTTATGACTCATCTCATTTTACTAGAATGGATTTAATCAATAAGCCAAACAGAACTTTTTTTATTTCATAGCCAAATGTAATACAACAGTCACATAAGCTTAGTCTTGACCTAGGAAACAAATTAAAAAATTATTTGTGTATACTTTGGTGGTTTTATACGCTTGGTCCTCTTCATGTTTAAGTGTTATTAAATTATTTTATATTTTTGATTTTAATAAATCGAAATCGAAAAAAAATACCTTTTTAAATAGTTATTACTTTTTAAGGACATGCTTAATATGACAGTGTTTAAACACGTATCGTCACCGATCTTGTTATAAATATACAGCTCTTCAGATTGTTTATATTATGTCTTACAAACGAAATATATTTTCAGCTGAGCAAGGAATAATTCTTGGTGTGTTAAACTCATTCGTCCACGTTGTCATGTACACTTATTACTTCCTGGCTGGACTAGGACCTGAAGTTCAGAAGTACTTGTGGTGGAAGAAATATATCACAAAGTTACAGCTGGTGAGTGTAATACATAAATAAATACCTAATGTTTATATACTTAATAGAATATGAAAACCGAGCCATTACTAACTCGATTTTCAGTAAAATAAATGTTTTATAAACGACCAAGTAACTTTGCTATTATTGGTTGATCCACAAATTAACTAAACATCTGATTAATGTCATATTACTAATTAGCTTGAATAATCCTTGTACATTGTCTTAAAATAAACGGTATCAGCAATCTGACACATACTTTCTCCCATAAGTTTGTCAACAACCTTTATCATGTGTAAGTTGTGAGAGTAAATATACAGAAATGGGATTTGTACAATTTTGTTCAGAATTTAAAGTAATATAACATGCTAAATTTTTATCTAAATCGTTAGTGCCATTTTTGGGAAAATCCGATTTTTCTGTTATTTTATGGAGGTTTTATGGGAAAATGACATAACTTACATTAACTTTTGAACCGTAATTTTTAAAGAAATGGGATTTGTACCATTTTGTTCAGAATATAAAGGACTACAACATACTAAATGTTTATCAAAATCGTTCAGGCCATTTTTGGGAAAATCCTATTTTTCCGTTATTTTATGGGGTTTTATAGGAAAATCCCCATTAAAAAATTTCTAAAAAAATTATAAAAAAACTATCAAAACTATAAGGACTATAACATACTATGTTAAATCAAAACAGGATTTTTTCTAAAATCCTATTTTTCGTTTTTATGGGGTTTTTATGGGAAAATAACATATTTGACAATAACTTTTGAACCGTATTTTTTACAGATATGGGGTTTGGACCATTTTATTTAGAATTTAAAGGGCTACAACATACTAAATTTTTATCAAAATCGTTCGGGCCATTTTTGAGAAAATCCGATTTTTCCGGTTTTTTATGGGTTTTTATGGGAAAATTCCCATTAAAAATAAAAATTTCAAAAAAATGAAAAAAAAACGCCTGGAGATACCATGGATTAGAACCTACATACCAAATTTCATCGAAATGGGACCACGGATGTAGTCTCTAGCTCTGTACACATCCAGACACACAGACACACAGACACACACACAGACACACACACACACACACACACACACACACACACACACACACACACACACACAGACATCACTTCGAAAACCACTTTTTTGGGTCCAGGGGGACCCAAAACGAATATATCCACTCAAAACTCAAACTCGAAAATTTTGACGAAAACAATACTTTCTCCATATACTATGGTATAGGGGGAGAAAGTAAAAGTAGAACATATTATGTCGTGTTACAAAATTTCTGAGGATTTGCTCTTTGAGAAGTTTGCCATTTTGAAATAGTAGCTGCAAAAATCTGACATTTAATAAGTATCTTTAGTGAGATTCAAGTTTGTTGCTAAAGCAGATCGTCTGGTATTCAGCGTTTAGCAAAAGAAACTAATAGATGCCACATTTAGAATTTTTTCCCAGGCATATTACTAACAATTTCGTATCATAATTATATTGTAAACAATGTTTGACTGTATGCAGGTAACCAATGTGTAAAGGAGGCCAGGGAAATCCTGTTTTAAAAGTCTTGATCGATCCTAAGAAAAAGTAATAATCCAAATGAGAGTTAAGTAAAAGTAACACGATGTCATCTTAACATCCACGTACTTCTCATAGGCTACCATAATTAGTTATTTAAAATGAATTTTATACAGAAGTATGATGTCCATGCAAGAGCTGTTCAATGGCAATGGATGTATTTTAATACCTTGTATTCTGTACAATGCATTCTTAGGTTCATGGTGAACATGCAGTAACTGCTATGAACCTATAGTCTCCAATGTTCATGTTTGTGTTTGTGTAGACCCAGTTTGTGTTCGCCATCAGCTTCGTGGTTTACCTGTTGTACAACCGGTGCACCGTACCTCAGTTCTACAATGTCTTTACACTAACGTTTGTGTTTGTGTAGACCCAGTTTGTGTTCGCCATCAGCTTCATGCTTACCTGTTGTACAACCAGTGCTCCGTACCTCAGGTCTACCATGTCGTCTTTACACTAACATTTGTGTTTGTGTAGACCCAGTTTGTGTTCGCCATCAGCTTCATGGTTTACCTGTTGTACAACCGGTGCACCGTACCTCAGGTCTACAATGTCTTTACACTAACGTTTGTGTTTGTGTAGACCCAGTTTGTGTTCGCCATCAGCTTCATGGTTTACCTGTTGTACAACCGGTGCACCGTACCTCAGATCTACAATGTCTTTACACTAACGTTTGTGTTTGTGTAGACCCAGTTTGTGTTCGCCATCAGCTTCATGGATTACCTGTTGTACAACCGGTGCACCGTACCTCAGGTCTACAATGTCTTTACACTAACGTTTGTGTTTGTGTAGACCCAGTTTGTGTTCGCCATCAGCTTCATGGCTTACCTGTTGTACAACCGGTGCACCGTACCTCAGGTCTACAATGTCTTTACACTAACGTTTGTGTTTGTGTAGACCCAGTTTGTGTTCGCCATCAGCTTCATGGTTTACCTGTTGTACAACCGGTGCACCGTACCTCAGTTCTACAATGTCTTTACACTAACGTTTGTGTTTGTGTAGACCCAGTTTGTGTTCGCCATCAGCTTCATGGATTACCTGTTGTACAACCGGTGCACCGTACCTCAGGTCTACAATGTCTTTACACTAACGTTTGTGTTTGTGTAGACCCAGTTTGTGTTCGCCATCAGCTTCATGGCTTACCTGTTGTACAACCGGTGCACCGTACCTCAGGTCTACAATGTCTTTACACTAACGTTTGTGTTTGTGTAGACCCAGTTTGTGTTCGCCATCAGCTTCATGGCTTACCTGTTGTACAACCGGTGCACCGTACCTCAGGTCTACAATGTTATTTGGGTCGTCAATGTTGCGGTCATTATGGCACTCTTCGTCAACTTTTACATCCAGACTTACATCAAGAAACCAGCTCAAATCAAGAAGACCGAATAAGAACGAGAAGCTGCACTGAGATGTGACCAACACTTTGTCAATGCATTAGCTTTATACATTGTTATTCCATAGCATTTTACATGTTATTGTAAGATTGGATTTTCAATCTATTTTTACTATAAACACAAATCCGTCCCAAAATTAACGCATATTGTGTTATATTTAGTGTTTAATGTGTAATAAAGATTAACTTGTTACTAATATGTTAGTGCTTAGTACCCTTGCTGAGGCTTTTATAGTCTTTAGAATGTGGCTAAAATTCTCGTAGGGAATAAACATTAGACTTATATTTTTACAGTCGATCCTGCATTATTTTTGCATTTCTCGTTGGCTGTGTCAGTAATGCGTGTTTATTTACAATGTATTTAAATTACTTAAAATTACACAATTGGAAACGACGAGGTCTACTAATAGCATCGATGCTTAAGTATGATGATGTGACATGTTCTCATACAATTCTTTTTATTGCATATTTATTTTAGACAGTACGAATTATCATAGAACTAAGAAACTTATACCGGGTGTCCATATAAAACGTTTGAGGACTTTGGGATATGAATCCTAATACTAAAAAGACAGAAAAAGTTTATGCAAGGGTATGTCCGCAAAAAATTAATACCCAAAAAAGGTCGACATAAATGATCAGGTTTTGACATTTCCTATACAAGAAACGTTGTGAATAATGCCAATGTTGAAGAAAAGAATTATTATAACCCTGCTGTTCGGAATTAAAACAGTTTTATTGCGTGCGTAAGATGGGACCACAGCTAGTTTTAGTAAACATTTGCTTCAGCGACCAGTTGTGGAACATTGTATCATCACAGGTGTTGGACAATGTTCTCACGACATAACAATCTGTGTTACTGCCTTTGTAACTTTCACATAGATTGTAGTAATCTTTGGCTCTGGCCTGAAATTTCCAAATATTAGTGAGCATTAATGACTTTCACTTGGACTTTTACCAACTGGTGACAAAGTATTTGTAACCACAAATGAGGAATTCCTATCACTGCTTCAACACTGTCAAATGTAGTACGAAGTCTGATCTGTTATTTCAATCGGTTCTAGTTTCATTAAAACAATGCATGTTGTTTCTAATAAATATAAAATTAGAATTGCTTAGTTCTGTAGCGTTGGCAAAGGTTTCTTGAGTTTCTTTTTTCCAACACTTTCTTAAGAGTCTGAAATAAAAGTCTGAACTATAGGTGTATTAGATACTCGTTACCGTCCATTCTCTAAATAAGAAACCATTATTCACTGTTCTATGACCACTACCAGCTTTTAAAGGTCATTGTGGTCCACCATTATTCACGACTTCCAACCAAACGAGATTGGTAATTTACGTGAAGCGAGAAAAGAGAGGTCAATCGGCGTGAAAGCTCGAGCGTCTGTACAACTCATTAACGAAACGCTTTTACAAAGTTGTAACAAGATTTAGTCCGACCTCAGCCGTAAAACTTTTCGTAAATGGGCTGACCCACTCGTGTCCAGGTGCGCTCTCTACAACGGTGCGGATTAAATAACGTTCTCTTCTTCCTTCCCAACATGGGGGGAGGGATCTTTAATGGAATTGAAATTATTAGTACAAACCGTAGCTTCAATTTGCATCAGTATCAGTATTTATATTTTGGTGTATGCTACTTGTTGGTATTTGTAATGCGAGGGCTAAATTCCTACGAAACTTATCAATAGTACTGTATTTCTTTTCTACCTAAAGATGTAATTAAATAGCTGGAAGCATACAATAATCACTCAAATGACTCTCATTTCGTTGATTAAGGTAATATTTTTCCTTTTTGCCTTCAAATCATTTTCATAAGACCGTTGGGCATTTGTTACATTTATAGAACTTTTTGTCCTAGGGCGCTAGGCACGAGCCTGGGATTGTTTTTCACATTACTTCAGGCTAGACCTAAGGGTTGCGGCATTATCACTTAGATAAAATCAATTGGTGATTTGGCGGGATTTTAACCCGGGACCTCTTGGACCGAAGTTCCGTGCTCTAACCACTAAACCATCCCGCTCCCCCGCAATAAATATTGTATCAAGTTTGTACATTTATCGAATAGTACAATATAAAATTTTATTAGTATACATCGTTTCCTGTATTAAATTATACATCTTATTAGCCATATTTTTACATGGTTTGGACAGATGATGTGATATTATACCTAAGAAGTACTTACCTCTAGGAATATTAATTGTAACCTTGATAACTTGCTTCGTAACAAAAGTTCTGACTTCGTATTTAAATAAATCCGTGTTACTAGCAACCCTTTAAAATATCCATAACCGTCTTTTACAAAAATTTAAATGTCATTTTACATCAATTGCACTGATATTACAGTTTATCAATGTAGTATGTTTCACAAAAATGTAACCATGTATCTATTTTATATAAAGCTATGAAGGATCTGAACTTCTGAGAAAACCACAAGCCGCACACCTGTCAACCTTATACTTGAACTAGCTGTGTGCCCGTTCTACGCACGGGGATCTTATAGTAGTCAGTTGAAACCTTCTTATATTAAGATTAAGAACAGCAGTTAGTTTGCATATTTTTGCAGATATGCTGGCAAAACTATTATATATAAACCTTCGCAAATACAGTATCTGACAGTTCAAGCCAAAATAAATGCTTCGCAATTAAATGTCACCCGGATCGTTATGGTCCATATGTCCAATGATTAAACTAAAAAATGTTTTATAGATCCATGAAGCGTAGCCCTAAAGTAGGCCTATAATTGAAAGTTACTTTCCACATCGGTTAACTTAAACGTATTTAAAGTACTACCTCAACCTCACCATTTAACACTTTATTCCGGTTGACATTTTCAGTATCAAAGGTGCTCTTGTCCATTCCGTGAAACACTGAGAAATAAGGACATTAATGCGTTATTAACAGACATACACACAACAATCCAAAAAAGGCCACGAACTATTGATACATAAACAATATAAAGGCGTAAACAATTCATGATGGTTTGCCCAACAAATGTTTTACTCAAATAGGTTATCATTTTCTTAGCATACCGGGTAAGCTAAGATTTGGAATCCAGACAGAAAAAGCAAAACTTATACAGAGTTAAGACATCACTTAAATTGAATACGGACGGCTCTAATAAATAAGGTGCCACACCAACGATAACTAATTTGTAAACTACAGTGATGTGTTGGTACCTACGTAAAAATGATTCTAGCAGCTACCAACGGTTCTAAGGAAAAGAACCAGTACCTACGTAAGAACCTACCTAAGAACTATAGTACATCCGACCAATTAAATACATTAATATCTAGTCCCGAGGTTATTGATCTCTTGCTTTTGGATTTTCTCGTAAAAAGTTATAGCGTAAACTTATCGGTCAGTTTGAAAAAAAAACAACCTTACCCAAACAACTTTTTGTTATTTAATAGATTACGCATTCTCTAAACAATGATTAGTATATCTATTAACATTAGAAGGTTATGTGACGAAAATCACACAATGTTGGGGTTTTGGTAATTTGTAATTATATTTCTTAAGTAGGTAGGCCATGTATTCTATGGAAAAGTACCGGTATCAAGGATCGTTGTCAAAAAGGTTGTTATGAATAAATATGTAGGGTTACGTACCCAAGATATGAGCTATGGGCCTATTGGCTGTATGGTCCAGCGATTGCATCACACGGTGAGTAGAAACAGAAAGTGGCACATTGGAAAAGCGAGTTTAGCACTTCCTCTGTTAAACCTCTGTTACAATCACCCACTGCAGTGGTGATTTTTTACTTTACACTTTACACAACCGCCATTGAAGCGCCGTCAATGAGTGGAAACCTTTTTTGTAAGCTATTGGCGACGATCATTTCAGTGTCCAGCCCTATACAACACTGATTCAAGGTCTTCTTTCTGGTTGTCAAAACTCAAGAAACATTTTATACTCAAAGAATTTCTGGTTCCGATTTGGACGATGTCTAGTTATTTAATTTCATTTACGGTTACACTATTAGACTATATTATTGCACTTGCGATTAATTAAATCCGTTATGTAAGAAAAACGTTTTTAATCTCACTTGGTTGGGATTTGCTTCCAAAACGTGATTCGAAATGGTTGCGGTATTTGTAAACAACATTTGTAAACATATCATTGACAGCTAGAAAAAATAATCTTGATCCGAACAGCTGTTCGTTATTTCATAGACGATTATGTGATAAAAATTGAACGAAAATTTGACAAAAATCGCACAAAACTGCATTTTTGAACGTCCGTAATTTTATTTACAAAGTAGTGAGGCTATATTTAAATCACTAAAGACACTCTCGCCAATCCAGTGAATACATTAAAATGACTTGGATCTTGATAGGTACTCTGGTTTTCACGGAGAAGATTGCGTAAAATGCCATCTTGAGTGTTACAGACAAAGGGAAAGACAGACAGACAGACAGACAGACAGAAATAGAGATAAGACTCGTTCCTGCTTCTTTAATGTATAAAACGTAAAAATAACCTAAAAGTATATAATTCTGAGCAAAGTACAGACAAAACTCTAATTTTATTTATATAGATGAAAGGTATTTATTCAGGTAGCTGTATTTAATTGCATTCAAAATATTCGAGATATATCAGCGTCTAGATTTGTTATTGTTTTAGTTTGTTTGTTTACTTTTCCTTAAGATAACCCTTAGATTCTACTATAGATTTCATCAAGTACTATATTGACTATATTGAATCAAGAGAAATTACAGTACGTTTCTTATATAAGTTCAACCCTTCTAATTATGTTTCGATTGTTTACTTATTAGTTCAGTGTTACATATTTTAAAATCATAGCAATTGACGTTGCCGATAAATATTGTGTTTGTAATTAAAGTGACACAAGAACCATAGAGTTTGGACAGAGCCTTACGTGTCCTATTGGGAAAAACGCACCTGTAGAGTATTTTTCCTTGTGACATAGACATTGATAAAATTAATTGACATCAAGTATAAGTGTTTAATCAACTAGCAGGTTGCATTGGACAAG